GACTGGACAGCTATTTGTCTGAAATGGTGTAGGGTTTCCTGCCTGAGCAGGGGGTTGGACTAGATGACCTCCAAGGCCCCTTCCAACTTTATTATTATTATTATTATTATTATTATTATTATTATTATTATTATTATTATTATTATTATTATTATTATTATTCATCATTGCACAGTCAGCCAGATGTTCAGACTGGATTTGGCATTTTTGTCTACCTATCGAGTCCTTCCCAAGGACCTGGGATGGGCAGATGTGGATGTTTGATGGTTTTACAGATATCGTCGCAGGATGGAAGCAGTTCCTAGTAAGGCCGCCTTTTGCAATTGACTAATGGCGAATTTGTCAATGCCGATGATGGTGCCCAAGCCAGATTGTGACCTGGGGATGTTGAGGGCTGAGCCCGGCATTTTCCCAGAAGCAACGAAAAATCTTCCTCTGATATCGTCTGCACATCCCACGGATTTTTTTTTGAGCAGTCGGTCCTGCAATACATGACATCGACTTACGACCACAATTGAACACCCAAAATTTCTGTGGCTAAGCGAGACATTTGTTCCGTGGGCTCTGCTCCATTTTACGACTTTCCTTGCCACCGTTGTTAAGTGAATCACTGCAGATCTTAAATTAGGAACACGGTCGTTAAGCGAATCCGGCTTCCCCATTGACTTTGCTGGTCAGAAGGTCGCAAAAGAGAATCGCGTGACCCCCCCCCTCTGCGACCGTCATAAATACGAGTCGGTTGCCAAGAGTCCGAATTTGGATCACGTGACCACAGAGACGCTGTGACGGTCGTAACTGTAAAAAACGGCCTTTTTTTTAGTGCCGTTGTCACTTCGAATGGTCACTAAATGAACTGTCGTAAGTCGAGGACTGCCTGTGTTCAAAGCCAGAACGGGATTCATTTGGTTATTATTGGGGTACGGGGGGGGGGAATTGCAAGCATGAGATGGAGACCCTCCTCTGTTCCCCCCCACTGCTTTCTCACTGTGATAGGCAGAGAGATGCAGCCCCATTTTTCAGCAGTAGAAAAGCAGTTTCTCCTTCCTTCCTTCCTTTTAGAAGGATTTTTAGCAGAATGACAAGAGTTAGGAGGGACCTTGGAGGTCATCTAGTCCAACCCCCTGCTCAGGCAGGAAACTCTATACTCGTTTCAGACCAGTGGCTGTCCAGTCTCTTCTTGAAAGCCTCCAGTGATGGAGCATCCACCACTTCTGGAGGGAAGCTCCTTCCAACTCCCCAGTCTGGCCTGCAGCTCTGGCAAGGTGGATCTCCTGGGCCCCAGCGCCCCTCCTCCTCCCTGCAAACCCCTCTCTCTTCTAGCACTGATGAGGTTCCCTAGTTGGGTCATGAAACGTCTGGCAGAAAACAGCCCAGCTCAGAGAGCACCAAGGACCCCACAGTCCTCCTCCTCCTCTTTCTCGTTCCTTCTCTCCCTCCCCTTCCTCCCTTCCTTTCCCTAATCTTCTTTCCCTCCCTCCCTCCCTCCCTCCCTCCCTTTCTTTCCTTCCTTCCTTCCTTCCTTCCTTCCTTCCTCCCTCCTTTTTTCCTTCCTTTCTTCCTCCCTCCCTTCTTTCCTTTCTCCCTCCCTCCATCCATTGTTACTTCCTTTCTTCCTCCCTCTTTCCTCCCCTCCTCCCTCCCTCCCTCCTTCCTTCCTTCCTTTCTCCATTTTTTCCTTCCTTCCTTCCATCTTTCCTTCCTCCCTCCCTCCTTCTTTCTTTCTTTCTTTCCTCCCTCCCTCCCTCTCTTCCCTCCCTCCCTCCCTCTTTCCTTCCTTCCTCCGTTTTTTCCTTCCTTCCTTCCTCCCATCTTTCCTTCCTCCCTCCCTCTTTCTTTTTTCCTTTCCTCCCTCCCTCCCTTTCTTCTCCCTCCCTCCTTCCTTCCTTTCTTCCTCCCTCTTTTTTGCTTGTTCCCTTTTTTTCTCTCTTTCCTTCCTTCCTTCCTCCCTCCCTTCTCCCTCTCCTTCCTTCCTTCCTTCCGTCCCTCCCTCCCCTTCCTGGAGCTCGCTCTCCTCGCCCCCGGCGCCCCTCCTCCTCCTCCTCTTCCTCCTCCTCCCCGGCGCTTCCTCGGAGCCGGCTCGCCCTCCAGCGGCCGGCCGGGCAGCGCAGCAGGAGCGGCCGGCCAGGATGGGGAAGGCGCGGAGGTCCCCGGGCCGCAGGCGGACGCCGCCGGCCCCTCCACCCGTCCGCGAGCGGGCCGCCAAGAGCGCCGGCCGGGCGCCGGCCAAGCCGCCGCCGCCGCCG